ACGCCGAGCCAGCAGGAGTGGAAGCGAAGTCTCTTGTAAGGTAGAGCGAAAATTTCCACATCGAGTAACAGTTATGGAGCGCCTACTGCATACACGTGTTTTGCATACATTTAATAGACTCCTCATAATTACCGAGAATTGGCTGTTGATGGCCCTAATTGGAAATAGGCTGCGCTCGTGTTTGACCACCTTTTACTACCCGGGGCAAGCCACTTACATACCCTCAGACTCATTTTCCCCATCTGTAAGACAGGAACAAAGGAAGGCTGACCCCAAAAGTTTGTGCTAAGGAATGTAGATTACCAGATGGTCGAGCTCCCATTTTCCCAATGAGGTTTTTTTGTTTGTTTGTTTTTTATGGCTCACTTTATAAACTTCCAAGCATATAGATGGCTTAGTTAAATGCCTAGTTATGGTAGTTGACTCACATAGCTAGCCTATTTCAAGTCACATACTCTGTGTGTCTGATGTAATGTACCTTTCGGAGAAATGTATTGCTTTTTTCATTCTCTGGTTTTGTGAAGCAATGTTACTCAAGCTTTCATATGTATCTCTGATACAAAAGCCTTCGTGGTGACTAGAGCCAGCTTTAGGGTCACCTATAGAGCTGTAAGACAGACACGTGTTTCACTCCTAAGTTGCTTGAGTTACATCTTTTGAATCTAGGAATGTTGTTGTGACTGAGAATGTTATATCTGAAGCCACGGGACTCATTTGCTGGCTTTAGCAAATCCATGGATTCATTTCTTTTACTGGTCCTGTCTCCGGGTGTACCAGGACTATTCACCACAGGTCACTGACTGCTCTGTTTTTAAAAAGGTCTTTGAAAGGCTCGTTATAACATCGACCACTTGGAATCACAGGACCCATTTGCCAGGAATAATGGCCAAATCTGGATTGTATTTCTTTACCTTGTTTTTTTGTTTGGGGTTTTGTTTGTTTGTTTTTAGGACTTCAACTTATATTTCCACCCATCCTTTTAACAATTCTATTTTGTTGTGTTATATAATGTACATGATGTATTAGTACAACCGTATAAATGCATAATTTGTAGTTGCAGAGTCTGCATGTACAGAGAAACAGGGTAGGTCTGCTGAGAAAATGAGGCTGAGTGCAAACAGAGCTTTTGGAGAGGCTCTAGGAGGCTGTGGCTCCTCACCTCTGTCCAAACAGATGCTAATTCTGGCAGGAGTTTTCTCCGGTCCCCTGGGAGCAAGCAAGAAAGAACATGTACAACATACTTCCATTGAAAAACACTCTTTTAATCTATGGTTGCAAGCCTCCAGTACTTTTCGAGTTAAAATGTCTGTTGTATATAAGATAATGGTCATGGTAGACAGCAGCTTTTTCCATATTTTTAATTGCTTTTTTCTTTGCCTCATTTTTTCACCCTCAGGTGAACAACTAATGGAATCCAGTGCAATGAACAAGTGTTTGGGGCTCCTCATCTCCTTTTTTCTCAAACTTCAACTTGGCTCTTCAAAATAACATAATTAAGACAGCAGCCCCGGTTCTGGAAGGCCTTGAAGACAAAATGACACTTCCTTTTGAGAGCATGATGGGTAGGGGGAGAAGTCACCCTGTATATTCAGGCAAATACTGCAGAAAGCCTGTCATGGCTTGGCTATGGTATGACAGTAAGTAGGTGCGTGGTGGAAGCAGGATTTGCACCCAGGTCTGTCTGGTGCCGGAGCCCATGCACATGCAGGCCCACGGCCATCCCCAGCATTAATAGGAGGCATTCAGGCGGGGAGAAGTGAATTTGTAACCAATCCACAGGCATTCACAAATGGGTCAGGGAGTGACCTCAGAGGGTGGAGGAAACTTTCTTTTCCTTTTCATATAAAAAGAAAGAAGAAGGGGAAGGGAGGATAACATAAGAGAAAATAGTCTTTTAATCAGCATTGTTTCAACTTTATATTCTGTGTCCCTCACAAGTCCATATATATATACATATACATGTTTTTTCCCATAACCCTCTTCCATTTGCTAGCAGCCATGACGCATTGGACCATTAGCCCCTTGGCACCTCAGTTTGCCTCTCTGCAAAATGGGTATAAAAACTTTACCTACCTCCCAGGGTGATTATAAGGATTAAATGAGACAATGGAGGCAAAACAGGCTTCCCAGTTCAACCATAAGGGCTGACTATTTTTAATATTGTTACTGGGAAGAAAAAGCTCTGTGGTGCAATGGGACGGTATGGACTTGGAGGACAGGAAGACCTGAGTTCAAGTCCAAGGTCTTTTACTTCCTTAGCTGTGTGACCTTGAGCGGGTCAGTTACCCTCTCTGAATCTCCCAATTTCCTCATCCAATCCACCTTTGGGATTCCACAATAGGGAAATGTATAGAGACAGAGCCCTTGCCAGGTGGTTCAGTTGGTTGGAGTGTCATCCTGTGCACTGAAAGGTTGCAGGTTCAATCCCCGGTCTGAGTACATACAGGAGGCAACCAATCGAAGTTTTTCTCTCACATCCATGTGTGTGTTTTTTCTCTCTCTCTCTCTCCCTTTGTCTCTCTCTAAAATCAATAAACCTATCCTCGGTGGAGGAGTTTAAAAGTAGCTATAGAGACAGAAAGTGAAATAGCAGATGCCTAGGACTGAGGGGAGGGGGCGCTGGAGGGAGATGACCAAGGCTTTCTCTTTGGAGTGAGGAAAGTGTTCAAAGACTGGCTGTAATGATAGTTAAGCATCTCTGGGAATATACTCTCCCTTCGTCTCTCTCTAAAATCAATAAACCTATCCTTGGTTGAAGAATTTAAAAATAGCTATAGAGACAGAAAGTGAAATAGCAGATGCCTAGGACTGAGGGGAGGGGGCGCTGGAGGGAGATGACCAAGGCTTTCTCTTTGGAGTGAGGAAAGTGTTCAAAGACTGGCTGTAATGATAGTTAAGCATCTCTGGGAATATACTAAGAGCCATTGAACTGTACCCTTTAGGTGTGGAATTGTATGGTATGTGAATTATATCTCAATAAAGCTGTCAAAAAAAAAAAGCCTACCTAAAGAATTCAAGGTAATGGATGACAAAGAGCTTAGCATAACTTGGCCATTGATGAGTAGCGGGGTCTCAGTATTAGAACCATTTTATACAGTGGGCCCTCCTCACCCAGCCTCCTTCCCGCGCCAGGCGGAGGCCCACCACCCTCCCCTCCACCCCCACAGCCAAAAATGACCAGAAAGCCCCTGAGAGCCTTTGAGCTTGGTTTCCTTTCCCGACATTGTTCAGAGAAGTGCATGTCCCCTGGGGACAAGCTGGGTCCCAGCTGCTGGTTGGCAGGCCGCTGTGACAGGAAGTGCCACCCAGAACTGCCTCCCCGAACTTGTCAGGGTTAGGCCCAGCCTCGCTGCTTCTGTGTGGGGGGTGGACCCCTCTATTTTGTAAAATTTTTATTGAAGGTACAACTGGTATACAAAACCTGCACATATTTTATGCACACCATTTGAGGAGCTCGGACATACGTGTATACCTGTGTTACCTGCACCACAATCAAGGTGATAAACGTACCCATCCTCTCCAAACATGTCCTGTTGTTGCTTTGTGTGCTGTATTCTGCGTGTGGGTGGTACCTAACATGGTACTTATCTTCTTAACAAAATTTTAGGTGTACAATACAACTATAGGCACACCATGGCACAGCAGGTTGCTAGAATTTACTCCTGTGTAACAGAAACTTTACACCCACTGAACATCTCCCCAGCGCCCCTCCCCCAGCCCCTGGCAGCCATCACTGTTCTCTGCTACTGTCGGTCTAATTTAGATACTTCCTATGCGAGGGATCATGCAATGTTTGTCCTCCTGTGGCTGGCTTGGTTCATCCATATTGTCAAATGGTAGGATTTCCTTCCTTCTAAAGGCTGAATAATATTTCATTGTGCGTATATACAACATTTTCTGTATTCATTTATCCACTGGTGTACATTTAGGTGGTTTTCACATCTTGGCTATTGTGAGTCATGCTGCCATGAATTGGGGAGCGCAGATAACTCTGCGATCCTGCCTTCAATTGTTTTGGATGTAAACCCACAAGGCGGGCGGCAGGACCATATGGTAGTTCTACTTCTTAATTTTTTGAGGAACCTCCTTGCTGTTTCCCACAGTAGCTGCACCAGTTTACATTCCCAGCAAAAGGGCATAAGGGCTCTCTTTCTCCACTCCTCACCAGCCCTTATCTTTTTTTTTTTTTTTTTATAATAGCCATCCCAACAGGTATGAGGCGATATCCCGCTGTGGTTTTGATCTGCATTTCCATGATAATCAGTAGTATCTGCCACGTTTTCGGATACCTGTTGGCCATTAGAATGTCTTCTTTGGAGAACTGTCTGTTTAAGGCCTTTGCCCATCTTTAAATCAGGTTATTTGTGGGGGTTTGTTTGCTTGTGTTTTTGCTGTTGAGTTGCAGGCGTCTGCTATTGAAACTGGGGCCTGCTTGGAAGAGCCTCGGCCCCATGGTTTTCCTTTGGGCGTCTCAAGCCCTGG